GTGAGTATTACGAGCTGAAAGCCAAGCTCCAAGGAACGCCTGATTACCTGCAGGTGCTCGAGGAGCAGACTGCATTGAGTAAAATGTAGGGAATCCTGTGTTTGGTTTAGTGCATTGATTACACATACACAAGGAATCAGACACATATACAGGCAGACAGACAGACAGCCAAACACACCTGCCTTTCTGTGGTTCTGTTTTCCCCTCAAGTCGCACACACACACACACACACCGGCAAACACGGACACACACACACACACACACACACACACACACACACACACACACACACACACACACACACACACACACACACACACACACACAGGACATGAACAAACAATCACAGATTGAATTCAGGGAGTGTTTACTCACCTGGTTTGTATGTATGTGTTTGTCCTCTGGGTAAAAAGAGCAATCACATGGAGGACAGACTGTCTCTATTTGCTTTGTGATACAAATGCAACACCATTCAGTGTGTGAGTGTGTGTCTGTTAATGCTTATGTTATGTATGTATGTAATATTAACAAAAACAGACGTGTTACATACATACATATAAAACTGATCCTGCTTGTTACACGTGATAAAAGTTTCTCAGATGAATAAAAGACATTTTCCTTAAAAACCACCTCTACATATATTTGAGAATCAGATAAATGTAAATGGAGAGAATACGTGTCTGTGTTTAAGGAGACTAACTGAAGGCCGGATGACGAGGATGAAGACGAGGATGAATTATGAATGACTTATGGTTTGCACCCGCCCTTTAACAGAGACTTCTCATTTTGTAAAAGCTCTTTTCATGTCGTCAGAAGTCAAATGAACACTTCGTCTGAGCTCTTCTTTAAATGAGTCTCAGGTTCTTACGTATCCCTCCTGCTGAGACTCGTCTCCCTCAAACTATTCAGGAGCAGAAGCAGAAGTGAAAGTTTGCCATGTGCTGGATGTTCCCAGAATCCTTTGCTGATCCTGACAGACGAGAGACAGTGACCCAGGCTACACTGCCTAGAGGATTCTGGGTTAAAAAAAACAAAAAACTCCAGAGAACTGATATACTGCAAACTCTGGCTGTGTGTTCAACCAAGCGTTCAACAACACACTCACACTCCACTGACTGAAGGAAAGTTGAGGAAATGTCAGATTTGTCTGAAAAGTTGGTTCGACTTTTCGACACATTTTCTCCTTCAGGAGCAAACTCCAGTGGAAGAGACATGAACGCTGCAGGAGTTCAGAGAGGATCAAGTTCACGATTCAAGGATTTCTACATAAAAAAACATTCTGCTGTGTATGTCTGATGCTTTAATATATTTGAATCATCAGATTACTAGAATATCACTCAGAGACAGATTTTTCTTTGGACCAAATAACACAGGCTCTAAATATATCGGATTATTTTTACTTAGATTCATAAATTGTTTATAGAGAAATCAATGAAAATGTGGAAAAATTTAATTTCTCACAATGTTTCAAAACAGACAAAAAAGAAACAATCCTGGATCTGCCCCAAAGTTTAACGAGTTCTTTCTTGACCCATGTTCCGTCCCCCCAGCAACTTTCATGTAACCCTGTTTGTGACAAACATTCTGTCATTGGAGGTAAAAACATCTTTTGGTAATTTGTGTCTGTTTTCATATATTTCACATTATGATCATGCAACATGTTCAGGGACCTTTCACATTATATAACACCATAGAGTCCTTTTGTAGAAACACAACTGAACGCTGGATATTACCCATGATCCTCTGCTTCCTGACCCAGCAGAGGTGCTGCTGTAACAAATCCACCAAACTGTTCAGAGTTCTTCATGTTTTAAAGTTTGCTGCTGAACATTGGAGACAAACTCTGGTTGTTAATAAATCGGGTTACGATGATCTTTTCATCACCTGCTGATTCGTCTGTCTCACCTTCTTTTACCAAGCACATTTTCTTTTTAAATAAATGTTTGGTTATGAGAAAAATCTTCCCCCCTTTTAACCATGTTTCATGCTTTGAAAGCATCACACGAACGTCACGATCAATCAGCTCTGACCCGAGAGCAGATCAGCACAAATATCAATCACATGCAGGACAAGAAGGCGACAGAAAGTAAATGAGGTCGGCTCTCCACAGACCAAGTGACCCTCCTTTTTATGGACATAAATTATGAGCCATTCACAACGTCTCTGAAAACGTTCATCATTTTGTCTGCTGCTGCTTTCTGAGCAGAACTTCTGTCACAAACATTTGTAGATGCAGGATTTCTTAATATGAGGTAAACATTTTATCTGAGCACTTTCCATCACGTGTGACTGCACAGTTCACAGAAGGTGCAAATCAATGTGATATGATAAGAGTGAAACAGAAGTATAACGCCAAAGATAACGGTGTCTTCAATTTCATAAACAAGGTGCATTAAAGCCAGAAAGAGTCAAGAATTAAATGAATATTTTACCCTTCAGATGGAGACTAGAATCACTGCCCAAGAGACGTTGTATGTACATGTGTGTGTGTGTGTGTCATCCATCAATAAATTGAGGTCGGATCATTAGGGAGCAGCAGCAGAGTGATGACAGTGTCACAGTTTAAATGTGTCAGTCAAGAAAAACTTGTCAACAAATTACACTTCAACGGATAGTGCAACCACAGAAAGGTTCTTAATCTCAGAATGTCATAACAATATTTTTTTATATTTACTGTAAAATGGTTAGTATTATATATATTTCAGCTTTGTCTGAACCACTCAAAGTGGGGTTTGGTTCAGTATTTTGCCAAAGGACACTTTGATACATGGAGTCAGGGATTGAACCACCAACCTTCCCCTTTATCTCCTGAGCCACAGTTGGAAACATTAACTCTCTCTCCGTGGTTCCTTTCAGACCCTCTCATCAGAGCATGTCAGAAACAATTGCACATGTTACAATAACTGGTCCAAGTGCAAGAAGAAGGCTTTTACTAAATGATTCCCATTGTTCTCAAAATAAACGGAGAAGAGTCGACCATGGTTGTTTCAGTGTGGAGACGAGGGTGTAAAAATCAAACTCACCCTGGACAGGACGACCTCTAAAGTGATGTTCTGAGGAGGAGCGCTGGGAACTGCAGACAAACAGAAGACAGAAAGAAATCTATTGAAATAAAGACTGAACCAAGTTACCATTTTATTTCTATTTTCAGAGAAAAATCTAATCTTTCATTTAATTTTTTCCAGAAATGTACATAACAACCAACAGACATTTACGCACACGCACACGCAGACGCCCATTCAAATAATTAATTTGATCA